CTGACGCCTAATCCATGTCAGCGGGGGATATTTTCATTGAGCCTTAGACTCGGGTGTATTGCTTGCATCAGTGCCTGAATTTTTCAAGATGAGAGGACCCTTCAAAGGTACTCTCACCATGAAAGGCTTTAGCCAATGTTTCCACGATTTGCCCTTCCCTTCGTCCGTCATCATTGACGTCACTTCGTTCTCTCATGACAAAAGAGAGATAGGTCGTAGGAATCGGTAGATGGAAAAGGACTTAATTTCCCACCTTTCTCTCTTTAGACATGGCATATTGATACGTGATACAAACGTGATAAGGTACCCATCGTAAGGAAGATGCTCCCCATGAAGTACAGGACTCGAACACTTACCCTTGCCTTCCGAGTCCCTCAGAAGTCCAAGCCATACTGTTCGAATTCGAACCCTCTGCTTTCAGACACTCTCGGAAACCCAAATCAGGTTGCCACCGATGAGACATTCATGAGTTCATATGGTATCAAGGACCATAAACTCGAAAAATTGTCCTCAGTTCCTCCAGAGTTTATAAAATCTGGATTGTTTCAAAATGTAATTGTTGCCGATTAATTTTCCTGGGGGGAATGAAGAGAAAACTACTCCGTGAAAAATCCCCTACCCCCTCAACAGGAAGAGACGAGACATTTGTAGACCGTGCAAGCGACCTACATAATAAATATTCTAGAAGTAGTAAACATCACCAGCATTTTGGAAGGTCTATCTCTCCCCCCTCCCATTCAACCTCGTGTTAAAATCTCCTATGGAATTAAATCATATCCATTTTTTCTTCTCTCTTTTCACCGAGTATTCGTGATTGCAGTTTCTTCGACGCCCTCATGGAGCTGAGCAAAAGAACTAGTGTAACAAGTTTGAGAGGTGGGACCGGCATCAGGCCTAGGGTGACTCGCATTTCAGTTCTCATGCTGTCCTTGAAATGGGTCGGAACATTCCGACTCTGTCATGGATACGAAGGGGTACTCGCTACTACTTCCAAATGAGCGACTCCCTGTCAAAAATTTGCAAACATTTAAAAGTACAATCGCGGTTGTATAAGAGTCTTGAAAGATACATTCGTAGTCTTATGCATATTGAAGATAATTTTTTTTTTNTCCGTGAAAGTGTTTAGTCCGCAGCACAAGACCCAAATTCCGGGCATCCACTGACATTACCGTCAACACGACACGTCTACCAAACCAAGTAACTGGTCTGTGAAGACAAACGGACAAAGACTGCGATGACGTCCATCTCCATCGGAATCGCCCACGCAATCCAGTCGGACCGTCTAGGAACGCCCGAGTGCGCGTGTTCTCTACGTACTGTTACGCCTTACGCATAAATAATTACCCAAACCTTCCCAGGTGGCATGGATTTGGTTGCGAACTGTCACGTGAAAGCAATGGAAGACACGCAAAAATCCATTCCACGATTTCGGATATGGTCGTGGAATGTGGAAACTTGGAAATATGCCCACCAGAAAACAAGATGTGCAAGCCCAGTCCGGTAGTGGGCTTCCCTTCATTAAGGAGACCCACATTTTGTCACCTACTTAAACTAAATGCCATCTCTTTTCGGCCTTCGATCATCTGAAATCTAATTACTCAGTTAGATTTGGCAAATCTACCCGTGGTGCACATGAAATGATGGGAGGATGGAGGGTTGGGCGTGGTCCAATCCATCTACCACGAAGGCTCGTAGAGAACTGACGGCACTTGCCGAGGACACGGCGCCGCGCCGAAGGTCTGAGTCTTGCGCATGCGCATTGTGGCCCAGATTCTAAAGCACTCTGGGAATGCATGCCTTCCACCCTCCTTGAGCAAAATTCAAATCCAAAATTCGCCAGAAAAAAAAATCAGTTTGTATCTTGTTCATATCTACCTGCTTACCAACTTTCGCATTGGTCAAGCCAATATTTTCTAAGTCATCGTCGGACAAGCAGTGTGACACACAGACGGACAGGAAAGGACCAAACATGGTCTCTTTCCTTTCAAAAAGGAGGCCCACTAAAAAAGAAAACCAACTTCCGTCGTGTGTGATGCTGAAGATGATTTCCTCAGAGCACCTTAAGCACCTCCTCCGCAATATCACGAAGCACCCACGACTTCCCAAAAGGTTTCCACCTCCTCCTTCGGCGGATTTTCACCCCTTCGAGTTCTTGTTTTCCTTCAGGTAATAATACAACGCACTTATTTTATCAGCGGCTGATGGCATGATTGAAAAGAAATCGCTCGGGTGCAACTCAAATCTCGTCGTCCCAAGCACTTACCACCGATGGTTTTCTCAACAACTCAGTTGATGATGGATACGCAGAGCTGAAGAAAAAAGCGGATATCATCCTTGAATCAAGCATCCAGAATTTCCTACGTCACCATGGACCTACGAAGTCGAGCGATTTTGTACGGAAGGGAGATGCTAACAAAAAGAGAGACATTAAGCTGGTCGTCGTCGGATAGGGAATGCGTGCAAAGGGAATCCGACCCGGTGACTGGAATCGGCACTTTCAAATTGGAGTCTCTGATTTTTTATTATTATCTAATACCAATATCACTTTCCTTTCAGCATGGTTTCAGCACTACCGAAATTCTTCTGTTTGCTTTCTCCCTCTCCTGTCTATGGTGCAAGGTCATGCAAACCTTACTGAGCAACTTCTGCGTTTACTGTTGTTCTGAGGCTCTCGTATGAAAAATTTCCTCACCTTCGGAAAAAGAATAACCTTGATTACCAAGAAAAAAAAGAGTGAACATTGGTTTGACATAGCAATATTAGCTCCGGTTGCGATTTCAAATCGCTAAACGTAGTAAATCAGGAACTTCTCAAGAAAACAGATCCCTCTTGCCCCCATGACATATGAAGCAAAGAGAAAGCACGGGAACAGTGGAACGAGCCATGTCAACAACACGGACGAATGACGTTCCGAAAATGTCCGGTGATGCGGAGGTTTGAGCTGCTTCATTTAATTTTGTTGAATTCCGAAAGGGAGCTTTAATTCTTAATTCATTCAAATGCAAGAAATCGTTATCTTCAGCGAATTTAAGAACTGTGAAGAAAATCGCCAAATACACTTTTATCAGAGCGGCCGTCTTCACAATAAAAATATGAGAATGGACACTGTTATAATTAAGAGGCCTTACTATTAAGGACCCTACGTACATCTTGTCCGGATGGGCACTGGAAGCAAAGTGAAAATCAACTTCACCGCATCGCTGCTATCAGAATCGGATATCGTAGTCCTCACCCTCGGCTGATTAGCCGTGAAAATGGCACTATAACCAATTGGGAATCGGACTGACACGGCAGCTCGCTCGTATTATAAAACTTAGAGAAAGAGACTATTTCCAGTTGAGTACATCATCTCTCTATGGAGATGAAGTTATCATTGTAAACGAAGCAACTACTCTACAGCAGGGGTGTCAAACATACGGCCCGCGGAGATGGTTCATCCGGCCCGCCGCCTGTTCTTGAAATTTCCGCTTGGATTGACTGATAGCACAAATTTCGGTGAAAAAGTATTGGTGCGGCCCGCAGGCATCTGCAGGATAAGGAATGCCGACCGATTTGAGTTTGACACCCCTGAACTAGTGTAACAAGTTTGAGAGGTGGGACCGGCATCAGGCCTAGGGTGACTCGCATTTCAGTTCTCATGCTGTCCTTGAAATGGGTCGGAACATTCCGACTCTGTCATGGATACGAAGGGGTACTCGCTACTACTTCCAAATGAGCGACTCCCTGTCAAAAATTTGCAAACATTTAAAAGTACAATCGCGGTTGTATAAGAGTCTTGAAAGATACATTCGTAGTCTTATGCATATTGAAGATAATTTTTTTTTTCAGACCCATATCAGATGTTTGGACCGACCAGCAGTCGTCTGGCTAGCTCAGGTGAGCAGAGAATAGACCCGTTTTTATTAGGCCTATCTATTCCATACTACATTCATCCCCTTAATGACCCTGCTCTTCGGTTGAGCTTTAATACTTCGTATATGAGAATAAATCATATTGGATTCAGCATGAGATCCTCAGCTTCCCCCAAATCCTAATTTGCAAGGCAAATGAAATCCCCGTAAGCCGAAGAGAGGGAGGGAAATGAAACGGGCCGAGATCCTCCCCTCCTCTTCTCCTGCTCGGCGGACGAGGGGGGAGTGAAATGGGGAGGGAGGGCATTTATGATCACGGGGATAATCAGGATGATAATGATGATGGTCCTTTAAACGCCTTCCTTTGATGAACAATGATTTCTTCGACAAGGCGAACGTTGGAGAGCTGAATCGATGGCGCGGAGCATGCGAAAAATGTGGCAGGAGGTCGCTCCCTCCCCCACCACAATAGGTGTCGCGTGCTTCCCCAAATTGCCCTGGCGTCGTTTACTTAATATCTCCCGCATTTCATGGCCCCGTGTAATCACTATTAGACCTATTTGCTTTATAGCAGCCGAGAGAATAGGGGAAAAGGCGCAGGTGAATATTCAATGTTACGTGGTGTTTAATCTATACGCAGTTCATTTCTTCTCCCATCCGTGCTCAGTTCGTGCATGTGTGTTTGCAGGCCCGCATTATTATGCTTTGCCAGAATTGTTTACAAGGATTCGCGTGTTCGTGTTTGCACGTAAAAGCAGAAATGAATGGAGGAACCTCCGGGTTTCCTTGTTGCACCAATTCCCTGGAACGGATGATGGAGTAAGATACAGCAGAGGAAGGTTTGGTCAGCCAAGCTCGAAATTGCTCGAGCTCGTATGGGAGTGCTCGGCTCGGAGAGAAAAAGGCTCCTAACGATCTTGCTTCGGGCAACACCTCAGGGCTCTATATCCCTCTTCTCTGCCCTCTCTTTCATCGGAGCCAATCAGTACAAGAGACCTTTGCGGTTCATCAGATTCCCTGATGAGAGCCACCGAAATACGTCGTTGGAGATTCGCATGTATCTTGATGTAATTTTCTCCCATTTTACGACTCGATGGCGCCAGCGGAGCTATTCATTGATGACATCGTCGCCGGTCACACTGAGTCATTATGATACGTATCTTATCTACCTCTCTGAATAGATTTTCCTCCCCGGTACACTGTTTGTTCGTTTAGATTTTTTTTCCAATGAAGAGCAGAACCAGTGGAATAGCTATATAATGGGACGAGAGTTTACGTCGATTTTCATTTCTCTACAATATAAAAAATGTGCGTTTTGGAACTTCCGGATGACAGGGAGTGGACAGATCCAGTTGTGGCAGTTTCTCCTGGAGCTCCTGAGTGATTCGAGCAATGCAAATTGCATCACATGGGAGGGAACGAATGGAGAGTTCAAACTCACGGATCCAGATGAAGTTGCTCGTCGATGGGGAGAAAGGAAGTCCAAACCTAATATGAACTACGACAAATTGAGTCGCGCTCTCAGGTGAGACATTACACTGAAACCCACTGCAGACGTCAGACCTTTCTATATAAGCCTCCATGCTTTCCACCGATTATTATTATCATTATTATGAATGCCTCATAAAGCCTGTAAAAATAAGCAATTAGCAATAGTCAAGGAAAGAGCAGAAAATAAGCTAACAGATTTCAGTTGAGCATTTCCTCCCGTAATAAAGAGGTCGTGCATATTGTGGTGAGGTTGAAGGTCAGAAGTGAATATGCTGAAATTTATTCCTCTTCTCGCGTTCGCATTTTTCCTATAGTGTTCTAAGATTGCAAGGAGAGATCCTCCCCCGCCCTTGTGATTCATGTACGGGGGAAACTACCTATTCTATGGTCGTTTTTGAGTCGCTACACTCATTTCCTTTGGATTGCCATGTATGACGAAAAATTGTACATAATTGAAAAACCCTGAAAACTTTTTCTGCCTTGATTCAATTTTCCGTCATCGCCAAATGGGAGCAATGAAAGCGAAAAATATATATACCAGCTAGGGCATGCACAAGAAGTGGGAAGTTTTTTTTCCTTGGAAAGGAATATTATGAGAGAGGACCTGAAGTCACGGCAGGAAAGCGAACGCACCCCTGAGGGTCACGAAAGCATTTATTCAAAATCCATTCCTAGTGCCATGTTCACGCAGATGCGATGATTAATCATATACAGTATATGGTCTGTTATATGTGTTTTTTTTATATTTAAAACTAACTACTTGCATTTCCACCTTGACTTCTGACAAACAACCCCTTTTTCTGCCTCCGTGTTTCTATCTCTTTTCCCTTAAAGGTAAATCTTATTCTTAATGTTCATTTTCAGTTTCCGCAATACGCGATGGAATGTGAGCGGAGCGTGAGCCAAAAAACTATTAGATTTTTATTACTAGAAGAGAGTATAGGAGTTTTAATACCCGATACAGTTATATGCAAGGAGTTTTGGCATGAAAAAAGATGGTAGGCTCAGTTTGCGATTCCGAGTATGCTTGAATCAATTGGCAGTAGAGCAATGCCCCACAATTTCCACCCACCAAATTTATATATGTAAACACACAGCAGCCATTTGGGGCATCAAGCATAAGAAAATACAAAACTGAGTATCAGTCTGCTGATGACGATCGGCGAAATGGCGGTGGCAGCAATATTGACCATACGATTATTTGGGGGTAGGTCTCAGGGCCCACGGACTAAGGCGAGATGTACAGCTGAGATGGGGGAGAAAAATAGAAATATCTGATGATCTGAGCGGGAGGGAGGGATCGGCCGTAAGATATTTGACTTGGGCAGTTCCGTGTTGGCAATTGCCGAAATGGAACGCTGCTCGCCGCCTTTTATGGCTTCGATAAAGTGAGCTTTATCAGCTAAATGTTGGCTGCGGGACCGGGGGGAGGATGGGAAGGGGAGGGCTGAGTTTTATCATTATCTTCTCTCACATCTGGAAAGAGAGGTCGGTCGCGAGGCCGGTGTTTCACGCGATCCAAAGGGAAAAACGAAAGGAAATGAGTGGCATCCAGCACGGAAATCTGAACAGCCCCATCAACTGACGACAAGGGAATGCATGAAGGAAGCAGACAGGAAATGAGCACCGAACACTATACCACCGGCTCACTTCCTCTCTTTTCCCCCTTCTCCTTCCCAGATATTACTACGACAAGAACATCATGACGAAGGTACATGGAAAGAGATACGCCTACAAGTTTGATTTCCAAGGTTTGGCAGCGGCAACTCAACCGGCTGCAGATCCTGCTGCTTACAAGTACCAGTCGGAACTCTTCATGCCGACTGGATATCCCCCAGGTGAGTAAAGGAAAATTGGACCGTCTCCAGATTCCTTGCATATTCAACTCATTCACACTTTTTGTCTTTTTTCGCCCCCCTTTCTGTGTTTCCAGCGTCGATTTTCCCGCCTCCGACTTCTTACTGGGCGAATCCGTCGGCAAATCTGTATTCGAATATCGCGGCAGCCTCAGCAGGACACACGATGGCAACTCACCCGAGTCACATGACCACGGCCCTAGGCTCTTACCCACATTATGCGTGACATCCAGCCTTCTTTTGATGTCAACGCAATCAACGAGGCGAAGACCGTCCCCAAGGAGACGGCACGACAGACGCAAAACTTCAAGGAAACTCTTTCCTTCAAGAACCCTGTGATAACATTTTTCTGACGCGAATGGACGTGGAACCTCCTCGATCAGGTTCCTTCGATTTTGAGAGTACGAGATGTTCTACGCTTATCCGTGATCATACTGCAATCCTTTGATCTCATTATTTTCCTCGTCCGCGAGTGTTGTGGCATGCATCTCTATAGCCTAAATTATACATGTATTCACAGGAGATGAGATTTGTCTCCTGAGAGAATGGACGCGAGAGCAATAAATGCACGACACCACGAAACACACCTACACGACCACCCGGTTGACTGTATACATTACGTGAAGTAGCAAAATCTACTTTTTCTCGTAGGAGAGAAAGAAAAGGAATAAAGGGTGAATGATGATGAAAGTGTCCGTTTTAATGTTTCAAAAGCAGACGCCTCTTCATGGTGACCTATAAATCATGACCAGGGACGCGTCAAAGATGGTACGAGGGGAGAGGTGCCACAAATACGAGAAGGGGTCATTTCAGTCACAATGGGGAGATTTCAACTCCCAAACCCATACCCCACTCCCCCTTCCCCCTTCCCTTAGACGCATCTCTGACCATAACCAAGCGCTAATTCATCCATTCCTCTCCAACTCCCATTTTGAAAGGAATAAAAATCGAGGCACCGCCTCCATTAAGAAATGTCCATTTAGTAGCACGCAGCCTAAAAATGGGAAGTTTTTCTCAAGAAGGAATATTTCCCTGTTATTGCACTGTTCCTTGCAGATAATTTTCATGTTGAAGTTCGATGCGAAGGATGCCTAGTAGAACGCTCCATTTTTTTGCTTCCTCGAGCTCAGTAGTTGCCATATTTTGCCGATCTTTTATCTCCAATGTACGTGAAATACTTTTTTCCTGCAAGAAGAAATCCCATAGAGTTTTTCCCTTTTTAACATCTTTTCGCTCCTTCGCTGCTCATGAGCGATGCAGTAAATTGCACGGTTTTAGATGTCACCATTAGTTTAAAAATTTAGATTGTGCACTAAAATAAAACAGAAAGAATTTCACAGCGAAATTCTCATTTATTCTGCTTAAGAAGCGATGAAGGGGGGGGGGGGGATTGCGCGCAATATCATGGAAATGACGCGGGCCGGTCCATCCCATCGCATTGGCAAGGGCAAGTGAACGGCTGCCTTTCTTTGCAATAAGAAAAGGGATTGCTCTCCAATAACGTATTGCACTACAGACGCACTACAGGGATTCATGCACCTCAATCCATCGGTAAACAAAAATTGTTCAGCGAATATAAAATAGGTGATATAGGACTCGGGTTGTTCGTGGACAGTAGAAAAGTAGCCGAAATTTCAGAACTGAAATGTCAGCCATCCATTTTACTATGCACCTATGAGACGCATATTGGTAATTAAGCCATAGAAGCGGCTGAAGTGAGAACTCAGCCCCAGACAAGGAAGGAGCAGACATGGAAGGAGTTCGTTCTATTTTTCTTTCTTCCTTCTGACTTCCCCGCCTTCCAACTCCACCAGTCTCATCGATTCATCTCTCTAGAGGGGTGATACTGGGATCGGATCGACCCCGTCAACCAAAGGATCTCTCCGCTTTTCCTCAGGCAGCTCCATCAAAGCTTTGCAAGGAAAAAAATTACTTTTCCAGATTAGAAAGGACTCATTTATCCTGGTAAACGCATTCAATTTTGAAATTAAGAACTAATTAATTCCCAAAATGGGGAGATACTGAATCCCATCAGAGACTGAAACCTGTTTTATATTGAGCCCCGGCTTCCACGATTCAGCGGTTGATTGAAGGGAAGAGATTGAGGCGCTGGAGGACGTGATCTAATGCAGTTCCATCCAATGGGAACTTTTCACCTCTCTCAAGGGAGGAAGCAAATGATGGTACCGATGACGACGTGTTCATGGGAAGGGAGGGGGGAAAGGGGAAGAAAAGGATGGATGGAAATAGTGCGAGGGGATAGGGGTATAGTGAACATAAATAAGCCATGCACTCCAACAGATACTTGAGCATAAGAGAAGAAGTAATCAAGAGGAAATGAACGAGAGGAGAGAAGGAAGTCGGGCGAAAAGATAAGGCAGAATTTATGTCAGAGCCCAGAGACCGTGTTTGGATCCATTCATCCGGCAGCTCGTCTGACTTTCTGTATTTATGAGACCTTAATCGAAAAACGCTTAAGGCACCCACCTGAAGCAATGACTGGATCACTGCATTGTCTCAAGTATGCACGAGTAAATACAAAAGCCATCTAATCTAACCTCTTGAAAAAGGAGAAAGCACAATCCAAGAAGCGTGTTTGAGCGTCTGCGTCTGCATTTGTCCGTCTGGATACTCTTCACCCCAAAATTCACGAGAAAGGCCCCTACACGATTTTATTTTAATTTTAAAACTCGGTATTCGAGAGATTAGAAAACTGCTTAATGTTTCTGTCCCTTCCTGTTTGTTTTGAGATGTTTGGTGTCGCTTGATGCATCTCGCACGATTGGCGGGACGAGTATCTGGAACGCTCGAGGCTCGAGAATCAGTCAGCTGCAGTGGGATTAAGGGAGGAAAGAAAAGTAAATAATGGTGATGAGCGACATTACTCTCATCATGTGTTGGATGAAAGGGACGAGGGAGGAGAGATGAGGGGAGGGAAGGAGGCAGTACCCAAGGCGTGACGAATGAATGGCTACCATTAATGGCATTGAGAGGGCCTGGGAATTCTTCCTAACAACCATTACTAAGGTTCCGAGCTAACAAATGGATATTTTCAGTTCTGCGACCCCATCCCTCATCCCTTGTTCCTCGTTACACTCTATAGAGATTCCATCTCTCTCAATAGAAAAAGAGCAGCGAAGCGAGAGTCCCTCCTCCTCCTCCCCCTCATCCAACTGAAGACCCCTCAAGCAGGCTACAACAAATATTTCCAGTTGAAGGATCGCTCATTTGTAACCGACCGATGAAACACACCTTAAGGGTCGACCATGATTACATGCTGTCGAGCATCGACGACGTCGACCGGTGGATGACTTGCATTTTCGAGTCCTCCCTCGGTAATTACGAGGTATAGATAGGGGAAAAGAGGGAGGGAGGGAGGGAGGGAGGGAGGGAAAAAAGGAAGCATGACCACCTAATGTGGTGGGTGGTATAATGAGAAGCCAATTATGAAGGAAGAGATGGATGGGGATATGATCTACTCTTTCATCGTGACCCCCCTGGTCACGATGCATGAGAATCAGTCATCGAGTGCCTCACGCAACTTCTCACGTGGATCATATTCCTCTGGACCCATCCATTTTCGATTACATTTATACTTGTATGACTATGAGGCTTCTGATGATGACCACGGTGATTCTCATTATCGCGATTCGATTCGTCTTACTCACTGTGGCGGACGGAAAGTCAATGCAGGCCGGGATGAGGAATCGAGAGAGAAGCTTCTGGCCTTCCGCAGTGAGCTTACTTTGTGTCAGGGTCGGATCTGATCTGAATCCGAAAATCCGAGTTCGATCTTCCGGAAGCATTTTGCTTCCTTAAAGTCGGATTAGGATCAGACTTGGGGCCTCCCTCCGCATTACTTTTTTCCAATTAAATATTTACTCCTATTTATTTATTTTAAAAGTTCTTTTGTCCTTAATTCCTGCTTTCGCGAGTTTTACGTTACACAAAGCATAAGCCCAGACTAGTCGGATCATATCCAATACCCTTTTCTGTCACGGCATGATAGATGACCTTCAAAAGCGATATTGACGTAATATAGCCACAATTTTTGCGCTAAGTGCGTCCTCATGAACGGCCTGAAGACTTCTGACCAAACATGAACGATTTCTTGCCTTAAATTTTTCGATAAGTGATGAAGAAAGCCTGAAGTTTCCAAGCAGTGAGTTCAGTTGTCCATGAGCTGCCTGAAGTTTTCAGGCATTTTTTAATTAAATGATTTAAGTTCATAGACACTAGAATATATAGGGTTAACAAAAATCCGTACTCGTGGGTAATTGGACCTATTTATTATTGTTTCATTAAATGTCAAAATCGGATAAGTTCCTCTCAAACTTCTCTGGCTTCTACCAACAACGTGCAACAAAACCAATTCCATCTATTCTTGCAGTGTGTAGTCACCCATCGTCTTTAATAGCAATCACCTGGTAAAGTAAAATGAAATATTTCAAATTATCCATGAGGACGGACTTTTGAAGCACTCTGTAGAAAACAGATAGGGGATTTGGAGCCTTTGCCAAGAGTTCTCATTCACATGAGACCCCCATTTAAAAAATTTGTCATGTTCATTGTTGCTCATGGACAGCTGAAACTTCAGACACTTCTCGGCTTAATTCGGCCGGCTGGAATTTGGTTAATGGATATCTGGAGGGGTGATGGGAGTCTCCTTCATCTGGAATTCATACTGGAGGGATAAAGGGGGCTTTTCGGGAGCAGAAGGGAGGGAAAGGGAATGGAAAGGGAAAGGGGTGTAAATCAGATTGTCCCCACCGAAATGCCAAGAACCAAGTTTCTATGCCTTTAAGAGAACATGCAAATATTAAATGGTGCACAAGCGTTGAACAAGTTAGCTGCAACCGAAACGTCGCATGACCTATAACAGCGTGCAACAAGCGTCATTGTCCAAGCACGTCACAATATTAATTTAAAAAATCGGAGTGCAAGCGTATCTTACTCTATATCCGTCGCAGGCGAAACATGAAAGAAATACAAAGATAAGGAAGGGAATGAGACAAGACGGTAGAATTCTTCCAAGGTCAGTTTCGGAGCAACGAGATTCGAATCGTGATCCAGTCGATAAAAGACAAAAAGGTGACGATGCCTCGTGAGATCGTCTCCTTTCCATCCTTTTCCTCAAAAGATATCACAGAGGCCTAGAGCCCTTGCCATGAGGAGGAACCTGTAGTAGGATGCGCCACGGCTGCCAAGGGGGCCAGTCGTGTTTCAGGCATCGTACTCCAACTCAAGTCCAGGGACGCGGCTAGTAAGCGGTTGTTACAGGAGACTTTACTGCGGAGAGGTGAATCGCTCAATGAGCCAAGCCATTTGTCTTCCACAAATGGGTAGTCTTTTCTTTTCGGAAGTGGAAATGAACACGAACGGGGATTCGATCACAAGAGTTCCTCGTCTAGAGCTTCGGACCTTGACGTTGTCGTATGTCAGACGATCCAGGCGACGGACTTAAACTATTGCGACAAGGAATGTACTGATAGTTGGTAGAAAGGAGTCGGAATTCGTGGAAGAGACAAGTGAGCGACGACTATATATGATCGGTCCAGCGCGAACCAAGAGGGAAAGCGCGCCGGTGCGCTTCGGAATGTCGAGAGAGGAAATGTTGAAAAGAATCTAGAGGACGCGTCTAATGTCGACGAATAACATGTACAAGTTATAACAAACCGAAGACCAAATGCGGAAGAAGAGATTTCGAAAATGCATTTTAATGTTCTCCAAAGCCCCAGCAGTCGCATCTTTTCCTTGTCAGAGTCACCCCTAAATAATGACCAAGTTCCTTGTAAATGTAAGAGTATCCCCGAACTCACGAACTCCCATGAAGTGAATGTTCAGATTAGGCGTTGAGCACCCATCGAATGGAGCCTTTTTACGAAAAAGAGTCTCTTTTCTAAAGAGAAAATGTTTGAGGGAAAGGGTTCCCATAGATGGAGCATGGAACATGTGCATTTATTAACACCCTTCCCCTGAAAAGGCATGGATATGCCGAAGCTGATTGCAGAAGCAAGACTCTGCTCCAGCAAGGCGGCGCATTTTGTATCGTGGAGTTCTGTGACAGCCTCCAGAATTCGATCGGCGCCCAGTCGGTATCGGTGATCGAATTCAGTGGCCACGTGTCCTGCAAGCCACGGAAGACTTGACGGACTCAAGCTGAAGAGCCGAAACCGGAACTTCTCACTTCTAGTATAACATTGACTGTGCTGTTCCGTTGAAATCTCAAATCAGTTGCGAAAGAGGATGCAATCCACATCCACGTCGTTCCCTCACTCGTATTAGAAGCCGATGCGATCTCAATGTAGTATGACGTGTGAGAACAGAAATGATTTATTTTTATTGTCTAAGATCATTGTCGACTTTAATAGGCCTGAAGCTAAACTCGGATTAGAATCAAACGGCTTCAATAAGATCACACTGGTCATTCGACACACGACACGATTCAACACTTCCTCTCGTTCGATATTTTTCATATTCTGACTGGTGTTCATTCGATATTAAGCACAATCGACATGGAACACCATCTGTATTTCTACCTTGCTCCATTTTTGGCTTTCGAAATTTCCATGTCCGACATTCCGATGTACACGCCCCCTGAAGGATTTCCTCTCTACTGGAGTGGGGTCGACACAATTATGTTTTGCTGATGGAGGACTTGAATGCCCGAGTTGGGAAGGACGAAGCGACGTGGAGTGGCGCTACCGGTCAGATTGAAGACCACGCAGAAGAGAATCCAATAAAGTTGCGCAGTATGATAGAAAGTTGTCAAATCGTAGCCGAATTGGCTCGTTTCTAATGTCACTAGACCAGTCCAAACAAGGATGCACAACCTTTCTGCCAAAGGATGAAATGATGACGGCTGGGTACTCACCGCAGGCCGGACATCGGGGGACGCAGGTCGATCTTCAATGGGATGGCCCATCCAATGGGATGGAAGTGACAGCGGAAGGATTATATCCGACTGCGGGCCGGAGGCTGTGCATCCATGTAGGCTATCCAAAAGTTTTTGGGGCACCCTTACTTCGCAATTGTGCAGAAAAAATGCATGCGCAATTTACACTTAAGTAACATTGAATGTACTACACAAGGGTTAAAATATGTCCAGCTGCCTTAGGACCCTACTCTGTTGCAAGATTGGGCACAGCTGACAGACTTCCAACGTGGAATGATTGAGTACCACATATAGCAATTCTCATCTACGAATATGACTCTCTTTGGCATCACACCCAACAATGATGTGCATAGGGACTTAATCCTCTACAGCATAGCATATAAAGTAAGCCACATTATGCTTTTCGAACTGATAGAATTATGCAGCAGGGCCTTAAAAACTATGGATTTTTATGCCTTTATGTAGGAATACTAATATTGTAATTTTTTTCGTATGTACATACTTGACTGCGAAAAGAATAGTAGACCACATCAATATCAACTAAAATATTGAGGGATTGCGAAGGGAAGAGGAAGAAATGAGTTATGCCGATGAGAGCAAAATCCATTCCAAGTACCCTCTCCTTTTATTACGTAAGCTGCGCATTATCTTGCGTCGCCTGATCCCCGAATGCAGATCTAAGGCGACAGCCGAATGCAACGGAAGCTGCTCCTCCTATTTGGAGTGTCGGTTCTTGGCCGCAAGAACCTGATTTGCATTTGAAAGTGAATTTCAAATAAACTCAAGGGTCCAAAACGTTTTTTGATTCCTTCATGGAAATATAGGGATTCATGCGAGGGGCAGGACGCGTAGCAGAACAATCCATTCATTTGTGTATCTTGTTGGCCAATTTATGGCTAAAGTTCGAAATCTTGAAAGCCAATTTTCTCAGTACTGAATAACTCGGTAAGTACTCGGTAAATACTCGGTGAGTAGCAACTAAGAGTTACTAAGAAGGTGCTCAACGTCGTACAGAAATCCATGCGTATGTCCACGGATCTACAGAGACATCTAGCCAGTGGTATGCGATACTTGAAAGAAGTGCATGGACGAGCAGATGTCGAAGCTACGAGCGTGACGCGTGATCGATGGGTTGCTATGGCGACCAGGCACACGCCCGTTTCCTGCCATCGTGATGGTGGCACGACGGCGGGGTGAAGTGTGAAATCAGACGGTAACATCATGAGTGAACAATTGAAGACGATCGTTGCGGTCCTGAACAAGGCACCCTTCAATCACTCCTATAATCTCATCACCTTCGATGCTCTGAAAAACGACCAGATCCTTCAGGTTTTATCGTTTCCTTTTTTCTTCCCTCGTCCCATGGAGAGCATTGGAGGAAACCCGCACGAAAACATGATTCTTGAACAATGTGTAGATCCTTAACGATGTATTGGCGGAGATCGACCCCAAGCAGGTGGGAGACATCCGCGAGGAAGAACCGGATCAAATGGCCTTGCGGATGTTCGGCACTCTCCGAATCCTCAAATACCCCACGCCAGGCAACCCGTACGATTTCCTTTTTTCCCCCTCATTTCCCTTACTCTTTCGATCTCCATCACAATCGCGATCGACTTGCTCCGTGTTTACGGCATTAATGTCATCCACTCAGGGATTCACTGCAAACGGTTTACTTGCGTGTGCAATGTTTATGGTCATTGAATGGAATGCAGGAGCGAATTCCTGCAAGGTCTGGTGAAAGGAGAGAAGCATGTGATCTACCCGATCCTGGAATGGCTCCTCCGACGCGTTCCAGAGTTGAAAAAAAGAGCCTACTTGGCAAGATATCTGGTGAAGGTGGACATCCCCATGGAGATCGTCGCTGACGTTGATGTCGGCGAACTTTACAACCAGGTCTCTCTCCCCCTCTCTCTCTCTTCTTTCTTGTGCTTCGTGCGGCGGCGGGACGAAATGCAAAATTTGTGGAGATCCGATTAATATATTTCTAAAGCATCCAGTGGATTTTGCGTCGATGTTGCAGTATGAGCTGTTGATCGAGCAATTCAAAGAAGTGCACAAGGAGTGCGAGAACCTGAAAAGATCGGGGTTTTCTACGGGTGAGATGAGGAAAGACATCGAGAACATGGAAGCGGAAAGAGAAGTCATGCTTCAACGGATCGAGAGAATGAAACACAAGGCATGCACCTCTTTTCTTTTTCCATCGTCGTAGGGGAGGTTGGGATAAAGTAATGGCATATACCAAGAAAAATGACTTAGTACGATGGGATGACATATGAAACCAGGGAAGGATAGGGGAATTATAAAATTAATTGGAAATCTGCAACGTGGGATGAAGCAATTGGCACCACACGATGCAGCACACAGGTGCGGCAGATACCTGGCATCATGCAAATATTGTCGCAATCTTGCACTATCATTTTCCATAGCTATGGCACATTGCCCCAATTTCTTCAGTCTGTATTTGTGCCCTGATGAGAAGGAGTATGACGAGGGGTTGATGTAGAATTCACTTTGCAGGTGGAAGGTGCCCCAAATCATTTGGCCATGCTGACAGTGGCCAAGAATCTCCGAATCGAAAGAGAACGCGAGAGGGAATTGAGCGGTCAAGAGGAAGACCAAACCTCGGCCGTCTCTCATGCAGAGCAGCGGATTCAACGACTCCAGGGAACTTTGAAGTCCCTACGTCAAGCTGGACTGGGTGCCACTCCCGAGGGTATGTGGCTCTCTATCACATTCCAACTCCCTCACTACATCACCATCACCATTCATTCCCATTCATTTGTTGGATCCTTTTTTGTCAAGGATTGATGCAGAAGCTGGAGGAGGAAGTCCGAGTGAATACGTACATCGTGGAGGAGAAATTGCCGAGAGAGCTGGCTCAAAAGAAAATTGGGGTGGAGACGATGCAAAGGGTAGCTGCTGAGCCTGCCATGGGTCAAAACGAGCTCCAAAACATCAAAAGCAAGGTTCCAGGGAGAGGTTCCCTCTCGTCTCATTCTTCACCGATCTGCTGTTTTTTGTCGAGAAATCCCCTTACCCCTATTTCCTCAGATCGCCCAGGTTCAAGCTCAGATACAGAGTGCCCAAGAGAGGAAATTGACGGATAACGACCCGAAAGATGACGAATTGACTCACTTCCGCCAAAGAGCAGCCGTGATTGCCCGTAAGAAAGATGCCGCAGCGGAAAAACTCAACGAGCTACGCAGTGAGAAGGCGACCATAGAAGAGGACATCAAGGTCTTTCTCCTTCGCCATTGCTTGCATTTCCCCTTCTTGAATCCAAGCTTGCAGTTGTACGAGCTTCAACAGTGGTGTGTGATGCGAACAGGAAAAGAACTCCCAGATGGCGGCGCTGGGGAACGAGACATTGATTCGAGGGGAGGACTTCAAGGAGTACGTGAACAAACTCCGAGGGAAGAGTTCCATCTACAAGACGAAGAAGACGGAATTGTCGGAACTTCGATCCGAGTTCGGCGTCCTCAGTCGGACGGAAGAGATCCTGAAGCAAAGAAACGAGAACATCCTCCAAGCTCTGGTAGGATCATCGACTGACTTTCTAGACGATCGGTTGCGAGAAAAAGTTGCAAGGATTCACTTCCCTTCAGGCAACCATGGAGGCTCGTGAGGGTGTGTCTGGGTTCCGAGGTACACAGGAGCGGTTGGAGCAATTGTCTCAGGCGAAAAGTGGCTTGGATGAGGCGAAAGGGAAGACCCTGGAGGAGATGTCCGATCTCGTCCTACAACTCAATACTAAAATCGCAGATCGGAAAGCTCACCTCGCCCCCATAATCAAAGGTCTCACGCTCTACTCAATCTCGATTTTTCCAAAGTGAGAAAGCACGGAATCGGAGGCTACTGCTAACTATTGTCTCTTTGGTCGTAGACAACCTGTGAAAAAAATTGTTTCTTTACAAGGTCATTATTATTTACATTCATTATTATTGTCGAATGCTCCGCCGAGAGAAAAAAAGAGAACAAGTGCATTGGATCACATTCCGACTAAATTTTTTCCCAAGCTTTTCGGAGTGCTTTTTCTCGCAAGCCATGCAATTGAAAATCTGCATTTGATCTCTCTCGTTTCAATTTCGTCAATTTCACTCTCGTCTCCTCGAGCTCCTGTTGACATTTCGGGGAGGAGTTTCACTGCAGGACTTTTTCAGGTTTTCTTTTCAAGTTTCGCTCATACATTTTTTGGCTCAATCCCTTTTATTTCGACCACATTGTGGTCTCAACTGAACTTCAATGCCAAAGAAGTGGCCAATTGAAATCGTCGTAGTCTCTCAACATTAACTGCGATGGTTTTACCTTTACATGTAATGACCCACAGAAGTCATGTGGTACGACTGCTTCACGTCACTCACTTCCGTTTCGACTCCGACGATGCACAGAGCCACTGTATGTTACACCCACAGATGTTTGGCGGCTCCCGAACTGCGTCGATCATCTTTCGACGAGCGGCTGCAAGTTAGAATTTGTTCTTACTGCCAATGATGTCATCGGAAGGAATATGGGGCATATTTAATTCGACGCTGAGGAACGGGTGATCGACTGCACTGTAGCGTAATTGTCCTTAGCATTCTCAAGCGGAAGGGCTGTCGAAATAGAATGAAACAACCTCAGGCAGAATACATGGCTACTATGTTCTCGTGTCTCTCGGTAGGAAGATTTCGGACATTTAAATGACCTCAACACCGTGGCTCGACTTGCTTACGTTCGCATCGAATATCACCAGGATGCCCCAGTAGAACGTCATGCATTCGTCATTTTGATCGGTATTTGACTCTTTAGAACTCCGTCCTCTACGGAACCAAGTGGGAGATTTAACAGTGGAATACGAAGAGAAGAAGCACGCTTATGATTCCATGACGGCTGGCCTGGAGAGCAACGTCGCCCGCATCGA